TAAATTTTGAAAATCCATGCTTCTCACATCGACAGCTGTGTGTGGCCTCCTCATACTTCGAAAAACCTAATTTATTTGAGTACGCACCAGACGTTAAAAACAAAAAACAGATATTTTGTAAATAAAATTTACTTCAAAAAACATAATTGAAACACAAAAACTTTATTTCTTTGAGAAGCATTGCAACGCATTCCAAATACTCTTTAGTTACATGAACAGGTATGGAGAGATGGAGCCTGTTAATATGCATCTGTGCCGTAGAGCGCATCTTTCAAAACATACACTTTTTGAAGCTCGTGGTAACTATATTTACTTGTATGTATTTTAATTTGCTGCTTTAAAAGGACAGAACACAAAGAATACATAGCAAGCAAAATTGATTTGTTTAAAGCCTGTGTGTTTACAAATTGTTTCATTCCCCCTTACCTACCCTCCCTCATTATTCTTTTCATATTGACGTCAACGATTAAACCTGTAGCACCAATTGAACTACTTTTTGTAAGCCTATTTAGCTGAAACTTAGCACATTTCAAAAAATTGGAATGAAATATGATTTTTTTTTTAAAAACACGATAAAAGAGATTCTTTTTTAAAAAGTTGCAAGTGCGTTTGGTGCGTAATATCTTCTTCTGTTTTTTTTTCTGAACTAGTGAAATGAATGTATTGTGTTAAAGCAAGTGGGTCAATAAAATAATAATATAGTTCAGGGGCGTAAGAAATGTGCGGTTGCGAGATTTTGGGGAGGGGGGAGCACTAATTGGGAGTCTTATAAGTTCATCCCTCGAATTTTGTTGTAAAATGTTTAACCCCTCCCCAAACTCCAAGTTGCTTAATTTTACACTTATATATTATGATTTATAACAAAAACAATTTTTAGGGGTTGTTTTTAGCACTTATACCAGAAACACTTATCGGTTTGTAGCAAGATATTCGTTTATTTAACAACAATCCCTTAAATTTGGTTGTTGTATAATTTCATATTAATAATCTAATGGTTTCAGACAAACACTAAAGGAAACATAAGTCCAAATAGTCAATATTGTATAACCACCATCCATGGGCGCCCGCAGAGTTAGGGGGCAAGGGGGGCACTTGCCCCCCCCCCTAGATTGATTGCATAAAAAAAATTTATACAAAAATAGACAAAATATGTATTAAAGCAAAGAGAAAATAAAGATAAAGTAACTTATCTGATGTCCAGTCCGTTCGTTCACCATACAAATATGCTACATTAAATTAAAACTATATTAAAACATTACTAAAAATGTTCTGCCCCCCCTGGAAAGTTAATTGACAGAGTGAAAAATCCTCGGAAAAGATTTGCGTTTCAAAAAACGTTGCCCCCCCCCCTAGAAAGTTTTCTTCGGGCGCCCATGCCGCCGTCTGTCGACCATAACAACAACCATACTAACGCGCCATTTCCACTTACCCAAATACGTCACAACACTCTTACACTATCAATACAGCTACAAATGAAATCTAAAAACTAAACATCTTTTCCTTACCAAACGTGGCATCAGTGATGTACATTATATCAACAGTGATTCTCATACCCCTGACAAGCTCCTCTTAAACCCTTTTCTACATTAAAAAAATACTGTCAGTCGCGTGATAATAGATACCATTGGATATCTGATGAATTCAAGTCACCAACATTTATTGAAAATCTTCTATACGTCAACATGGGTTCCAAAAGCTTTCAATTTTGGCAATATTAAATACTTTGGCTAATGTGTTTTTAAATTTTGTGTACTTCTGAAGTCTGTACCGTCTAAACAAGGATCAAACTTTTACGCTCGACGTTTTAAACAGATGATGAATAACCTGGGTAATGAAATCTGCTTATTATCCTGAGTCGCTCTGAGCACTTGATCGAAACCATCAAACGGTAAAGGAAGTTGTTATAATGTGCTGACAAGAACAAGAGAAACAAACGAAACAACTGTTTGACTTGGTTTTGTTTGCCGCAAGAGAAGCAGTTCAAGAATCACTTGGTTTCAGCTACTTTGAAATATCCTAGCTAAGAACGATTTAAACGAAAAAAGACTTGCATCCCCCCTTATTCTTCTCTCTCAGATATTTAGGTTTGATGATATTGCAAAAATTCATCACAAGTCCAAACTTTAAAAAGAAGTAACTATGTATTGAAATTTACGTTTCTATCATAATTACATTTTAAGAAATATTTATCTTCTATACATTATAAGCCAACCATGCTCGCTTTCACGCCCCTAAACTACTTTTTTCCATCAAAACATGATCTTAAACATAATGGCCTAACATTGAAGCAATAAACTTCATTGTCCGTTGATCATGCAAATTGAGTTGATATTATGAGGTCCGCATGGACCGAGAATCATCGTTGATTTTACTATTTCATGGAGGGTGGGGTCAGTCTGTGGATCAGAAATTCCGCATGGATTACTTGATCGATGGCACCTTGGTTAATCCTATGCTGTAGCAACAGGAGGATGTGTGCATCGGGAAGACCCTGCTTTGGCCACTCTATTTTGTACATGTAGCAAGTTTTACAGCCGAAAATGCTACTCTTGGTGAGCAAATCTATTATTTTGCCAATTTTCAGATGAAATACACGACTGATGAGGTGGTAGCGATCGTGAGGTTTCTAATGAGGAAGGAGCACTTCAACGATGTCAGTCCATTAAGGATTGCAAGTAAGTGTGATAAATAAGTCAGGGCGGCCGTAATTACGTACATAGGTCATTGCGTCTTGTGTACACTCATGCATATAGCGAAGTCCTCCAGTGAAGGAAGATGGTCATATCAAAGCCTGACATAATTCCGCAAAATTAGTGTCGTTTATCTCAATAGCATCTTTCAGGTGGACGTAAATTTCAGCTCGTAGTTTATTTTGGTTCAGTCAGATATAAGTTAATCTTTTGGATTCAATTTTCGCGTACATATCAACTAAAAACTGATTTTAACAAAATCTGAAGAATAATTTAGTATTTTCATGAGTTTGTCTGATCATAAGCCGATATGAATAGACGTTCGCTGCAGACACGTTTTTCTTCATAGGTAACTTACTGTCAGGGTCAACTTGAGTTATAGATACAGAATAGCCGTCCTCACCATTGCAGAGCATGAGGGGATATTGAAGTGCATCATATGATATGTATGTTTCCTTAATGCGTTGCAGTTTATAGTCTCTGCTTGTCAAGATAATATCCCTATTGTTGAACGTTTGCCTCACGATAACATCACCAAATTCACATGCTGCAGGTTTTTTTTATATCTGCCTTTGTGTGCAAATGATGTTTTTTTTGTCGGCGTGAATGACAATCTGGAAGTCTTTGTCTTGATCTGAAATCCTGTCGATTGAGGATTGGAAGTCGTTGATGTAAGAGTTACAATCATGCAGCCTTTTCTGCAACTGGCGCACCAGGGTCTGGTTAAGCCCAGAAACATTAACGCACTACATTCGTGCTTCTTTTTCATCGTCCCCGACTAAATAAGTTTGTAAAAATGTGTGTTCCTCAGTCGTCAAAAGTAAAAGACTACCAATCAAGTGTTACTTTTGTCCCTGGACTTTAAACGAAGGCATCACATTTCCCTCAACGATTTGATTAGCACCAAATGACGTCATTTGAAAAGCGCTGTTATATTTGCGAATATTTTTCAAGAAATGCTCACTTTGAGGATGATCGCCACATAAGAGGGCTTCAAGAAGCTGAGGGAGTTTGTGTAAAGGAGTGAGACAAACTTGACCAGTGTTACAGCACAAACCAGAAGACTCGAATTTCCACCTGCGAGCATCGCAATAGTCATAGACAACATCCATGAATCCAATGCGTACAGTTTCGTCAGATTCATAATCCATGTTTGCGTCTTACGAAAATGCACAATTTTTTATTTTTTTTTAGCGAAACATGTCGCTTTTGCATGAGTCACTTTTCATGATCAGTATCGTACCTACAAACAGCGTCCTTGTTAACTTGGAGATTTGCCTGGGAGTATTTAGCGACAGCATCCCTATGTACTTGGGGATTTGCCTGGGAGTATTTAGCGACAGCTTCCCTATGTATTTGTGGATTTTTCTCGTAGTATTTGGCAGCAGAGTAGCGAAAGTTGTTTCCGTCTAGGCGCTTTACAAAATCTACCACGACGTCTCACACGCCCCTTATTTCTTGTTTGTCAAAGCTTGGAGAGCTGTAGTGATTAGGCATGTCAGTTTAAATGTTTCTTTCAACTACGTTAATATCTTGTGTGCTGTTGTGCAAGTGACATTCGGCTTCTGCCAAGCGTTGCAAGCATACAACAGGTTGCATAGATAGCTCGTTTCCAGCTGCCATTACACCAAGAAAACACTACACAATAATATTACATCATTTACCTTTTAAGCGATGCAAGCATACAACCGGTTGCATATGTACCTTGTTGTCCGCTTCCATTACTCCAAAAAAATACTACACAATAATTATACGTCATAGCCCTCTTTACACAATACACCACGCCATAAGATGCATATTAGATGAAACAACACATATAATCTCTAAACAACACGCAATCACTAAATTGTGTTGTTAACTTTATTTTTGCAGCTCATATAAGGAATAAAACTCATTCTGTACCCTTGATTCTGATCGTTTCGGGTAGAGTTTCGAAATAAAAGCTATTTAACTTTTGTAATTTAGCTCTAAGGAATAAGCATGCTAATGTGCAGGCTTCTATCTACTGGGGAAGTTGTAGAATTAGTGATAAGTGAATCAGTCAGTCAATCAATGAGGACATTGCCTTTTATTAGTATAGATAAGGAAAAAATGAAACGGGGCCCCGGTCCTAAAGGTATGTCAATTATGAGTTTAGTACCCTTAAGTATTTGATTATTGGTAATCAAGGGTATGTGTACTAATTTTGGTCAAGCTCCATCTATTCACGTCGGAGTACTAAGCATATTATATTTATAAGGTTAATATTAGGAAAAATTAAATGGGCCCAACAGGAATGGATATTATGTGTTGCTTACCCTTCGGTAGTAAGTATCAAATGTATGTATATTAAGTTTGGTAAAGATCCAGCTGTTCATGTAGCAGTATTTGTTGATTATTTTATTAATATAGCTCACAAAGAAAAAAATGATATTTTGGGTCCCCGGCCCCAAACACTTTAGAGTTTTAAAATGACTCATGCCTAAATTGTGTACCTAAGCCGTAAGGAATAAGACTGCCAAATTTCAGGCTCATATCTAAAGTGGAAGTTGGAGAATTAGGGAGGAATGCGTGAGGGCTTTGTCTGTTATTAGTATAGATAAGAAAAAAATGGGGCCCCCGGCCCCAGAGGTATGAATATGTTGAGTTTAATACCCTTAAGTAATTGAATATTGATAATCAAGAGTATGTGTACTAAGTTTGATCAAGATCCATCTTTTTATGTCGGAGTACTAAGCATATTAATATTTGTAGGGCTTATATAAGGAAAAATGAAATGGGCCTCCCGCCCCAGAGGTATGGATATTATGCGTTAAGTACCCTTCGGTATTTGAATATGGCTAATCAAGAGTATTGTATTAAGTTTAGTCAACATCCATCAATTTATGAAGGAGTATATGTTGATCATTTTATTTATACAGCTCATATATGAAACAAACGCCATTTTGGGCCCCCGGCCCCAAACGGTATAGAATTTGGAAATAAAACATGTTCAACATTTGTATGTGAGCTGTAAGGAATAAGCATGCAATATTTCAGACTGCTATCTACTGGAGAAGTTGGAGAATTAGTGATGAAAGTCAGTCAGTCTGTGAGCGCTCTGCCTTATATTAGTATAGATTCATGGGCGTGAAATAAAAAGGTGGCAGTAACGCAGCATGAAAGGGGAAAAGGAGGGGGGGGAGGTGTAGCAAAATTGGAATTCATAATTGAATGTGCGTAACTTGAGTTCACGTTTTTGTCAAATAACTTTTGTAGATGGGAAGTTTACGCATTGCTACTGCCAATGTTTTGCGGGCTATAACAAGTATACAAATATATAAAATATTTACTTATTTATTTATTTATGTATTAGTTCAATACTTTTAACTTAAAGTTGATTTATATAAAATATTAAATATTTACCATTGCTGTTTACAGTTACTCTCAGCCATGTAATGGTATAACTAGAGTTCAAGTTAATGGTTACATCTTCTATATTTCCTTCCAAACACGTGTTGTCATCTCGGTCTTTTAAGGTAGACTGGTCAATGGTTGGTATTGTTGATATCACGGCAATTGAAAATAAGTCCTCTGCAACAGTTATGTAAATTGAGCATGATTACTCGTGACAAAAGAAGTATGAACAGTACAATTTAAAGGCAATAAATTTGAGCAGAAAAATGTCTATGGGAAAAGAAATAATTTTAAACTTTCCAGTTTTTTTGGTATTTTTTGTTTTGTTCACCCTATAAAATAAAATCATTAATATTTGTTTACACGAATCTTCTTTCAAAAATTGTTTTATACAATTGATCCAAGAGACTCCCAAAAGCCACATATTTATGATTTATGAGGCATTTTGTCATGATAAAATTATGACTGTATACTCTAGCTAATTAGTACTTTCATGTATTAGAATGTTCATATGTTTCAAATGTTGCATTTGGCACATTCATATTTATGTTTGCACTTTGTTTTACTAATAAATAAAAATTGTTTATATTAAAAATCTCATTTGAAATTATTTATACATAGAATTTAAACTCAATTACATAGAATAAATTGTGGAATTAGTTCAAAGCTTAACTCTGATATCAAAAATGTGCAGGAGATCAAATAATTTTTATACTGTTATTTCCATCGTTGCTAATGTAATAGCTGACAAGATTACTCAGACTATGTCAAATTAAATATGTGATATATTATGTGTATATTCTGATCGTTATAAACTATAAGTGTTTAGCAAATAAAATAATTGAATAACACATATACAGGAAAAACAGAGATTTAAATCCCCAAAACACCATTATGTTGGATAATAACAAAAATGAGTATAACATCCAAACAATTATGTATATAAATTTAAAGTACATTTATTTACTGCCTTTAAATTCAAGACAAGGCATAGTGCAAAAAAAAATAATAAGATACGACAGTGTTTTATGTATCCTAATAATTATGGTACAACTGAATAATTGGAAATAATAGTAACTCAGACTTACGGTACTGGCAAGCTGGACCAAACCATTCACTGTTACATTTTGAGCCAGCAGTACATTCCCCACTGACGTCACACTGGTTGTTACTACAATGGCATTGGTAATTACAACTATTACCAAACCATCCAGGGTTGCAACCTAAGTTTAAATCAGAAGCTCGTCAAATAAAAATCTTTTATATACAATTAATGTTTTTTTTAAATTTTTTATGAAAACATGTTTTCTTAGTTTGTTATTCATTATTTCCTAAATAAATTTCTAGAAATATAAAACAGCTCACCTGATGCTACAGGTGTGAAGACGCAGAGTAAACATAATTCAATCAAAGCTTGTATGGTAGTCATACACATCTTTATCACTTATGCTTCCTTAAATTCTTTTTTTATTTCAAATACACAGTTTTAAACATTACGTAAATACTTTTGTTTGTTATATTAAAAGTAACACATACTCTGCTTATACAATTTCAATATTTTACTTGATCTAATCACTCATGTTTCTCGTGGTCGCTATTTAAGATGAAATGCGTTAACAGTGTGAATCCGTAGCAAACTACGCAACCTTTTATAACGAACAAGTCAGCATCAAGTGAAAAACCTCTTCTTGTTTTACTTCCTTCTTTGAGATTCATTTTTGGTATATCAATGTCACGATCTTTCATTTCAAACAAGAATACATTAGCTTTCATCAACTAACTCAGATACACATAATAGGCAGCTGTGCTAGTTAAGAAAAAAAAAGAAATACAACCTAACAACAAAGTTCTTACATGTCCTTTTGTATGAAAATAACGTAAAGTTTTATTTAACGAATTTCATAATACTTGTTATTACTTGTAACTCTTTAAAGGACAAAAAAGTTTAAAATTGCACAGTTATAGTTGTGTTAAGGAACAAACCTGCTGCAACCAGAGCCATTGCCATGCTATTCCAAAATCAAAAAAAAATAAATTCAATGATCATTTGCAGCCATATATACTGAACTGCTTAATAAGTTTTGTTGACCTATATTTTATATAAACTTACAAGACATTAGTCTGTTATAAAATTCCAAACGTGTTCAGATGTGTGTCTTTCCAAATGTTCAATAATTCTGAACAAGTTTGTTTGAAATAACATTTTGAGCCTACTGGAATGTTTCTAGCAACAGTATGCATTATGTTACATCCATCAAATTCATGATCAATTATTTTTTATTATCTTTATTTCTATAGCTGCAGTGAGTGTTAGTTTTATTTGGTTTTATTTTTTTTAAATTAACCTAAGGCTAAAATATGTTTTATTGGCAAATTAAATATCTTCGAAATGGTTTCAGTTGTTTTTGGATTCGTATATCCCTACACGGATTTAAGGTATCCCTGTGATTGGCCAATCTGTTTGAGTAAACTCATTGTGACACCATCCCACCATTATATCCCATCCTCTCTGATCCTCACTAAGTAATTCTTAAAAAGATCAGACAAAATTATAATAACATTGTTTCCAAACTTTTAGTTTCCGGCCAAGTTCATCTAATTACCTATCTTTCATAATTAACTAAAATTCTTATCACTATAGTAGAGACCGACAGATGGGGATTTTTTTTATTTCGGCTGAAGCCGCAAATAGGCCGAAACTTTAAAATGACTTTCGGCCGAAACCGAAAATATGCCGAATATTTAACAATGACTTTCGGCTAAAACCGAAAAAAGGCTGAAAGTTAAAAATGACTTTCAACTGAAACCGAAGCCGAAACTGAAGCCGAAACCGAAAATGAAATAATTAGATATTTTTTTAAATTCGTTCCCGCATACGTTCTGCATACATTGAAAATGATGTGGGAAAGTATAAATATTTATATTCTTTTATAAAAAATGAGATACTCGTGAATATTAATAAATAAACATCTAAAATAGGGGTCTCAAACTCGCGGCAATTATGTTTCCCCCATTCTCATATCTATAATGTGACTTTCCGCGACGGTTTCAGTCGCATCTCACCGACTAATCTAATTCTGAGATTATTTTTTTTTTTGTGTTTCTATATACTTTTGTGTGATGATTATAATGGTAACAACCGTTTTAAAATCGATAAAAAAAGTTTTTATTGTATAGCATTTTTTATGAGACAAACATGGCAAAGAGTGCGGCTTCGAGAAAAGTATTTTAAAGTAAGTTGGCGGGTAATTCACAACCATAATTGTGTAAATCGTAGCAATCTGATATAATGAAAGGATCCATATTAAAATTGCCGCTAGTGTTTACGAGTGAGGGAAATTTCTAAATGTTCTTCAAATGCCTTTTGACCCAGTCTGGGTCTCCACATTTTTTAGACTTCATAAAAAAGATAGCCTCTCTTCCCCTTTTTGTCGACCCTTTCTCCTTTAATGTGCAATATGTCCCGCGCGAGGAGCTGAATGAAAAAACAGACAAGCATGGACATTGTATTGCATTATTCTCCACCTTCCCTGCAATTTTTTGGTTATTCAAGCGGATCCTACGACTTTTTGGGCGTACCGATCTGTGTGAAAAGCTCTTTTCCAACATGCACTTTAACAAGTCAAAGATCAGGGCCAAACTTACAGATGAGGATCTTCAAGTGATGTTGAGAGTCTTAGTTGATTCCTCACTAGAGCCATATTTGCTCAGGTGTATAAAAAAGCGTTGTCAGGTCTCTGGCAACAGTGAGTCGGTCGACGAAAGTGAATCCTAGTTCTTGAGAACCCCTAATGTTTTTTATTGTTATTTATAATTGTTGAGCAGATTGCAACAGTCGTAATCGCTTTCTGTGGAATACTTGATGTGGCCCACTCTCACTCAGACATTACCTCCTGCGCCCCCCCCCCCCTGATGATTTGAGTTTATGACCCCTGATCTAATAAATACTTTGGATTTTACATTTTATTATAAAAGTAATTTAAATTGCTTTAAACATTTAAAAAAAATTAGTATGGTAGTGCAAAATTTGGCAAAAATTGGACAGAAAGAGTAAAATTAATGCAAAATAGACTCTTGAGTGCCTCTGCTTTTATAATATAATTACAGCCTAGAACATATACCTAAAACAATTATTGTGGCTCTAATAGAGCAAATCGCCCCTTAAATATATGTTATTGAGGCTTTAAAAATATCACAATAAGGTTTTGCTGTTTTCGTAATACTAATGCTGTGTCTTTTCATTAATTGCTTGCAAAAGATATTATTGTATTTATATTTAACCTGTTAACAACTCACTAGTCTTTCCGTGCTAGTGACGTAATTATTTCGTTCGGCGAATAACCTCCCTAACCACCATTGGTGGTGAAAATATTTTTTTTTAAACAGGGTCTCTTAAAATTGTTGTTCTGATCATGGTTCTTAAAGATCGCTTTATTTGTTTTGAAAGATTGTTTAGTTTGTTCTTAAAGTTCATTTAGTTTTGTTCTTAAAGATCGTTTAGTTTGTTCTTAAAGGTCGATGAGTTTATTTATAAAGATCACTTAGTTTGTTCTTAAAGGGCAAGTAGTCTATTGTAGTTTGCACTTAAAGATCGCTTAGTTTGTTGTTAAACATGGTTCAGTTTTTTGTTAATGATCGCTTCATTTTTTCTTAATGATTGGTTAATTTTTTTTTACAAAGATCGCCTGCTTTGTTGCTAAAGATCGTTAAGTTTTTTTTTATTAATGATCCATTTGTTTGTTTTTACGGATCGGTTAGTTTGTTCATAAAGATCACCTGGTTTGTTGTTAAAGATCGCTTTATTTATTCTTAAAGATTGGTTAGTTTGTTCATGAATAACACTTAGTTTGTTGTTAAAAAGAGTTTAGTTTGTGTTTTAAGATCTTTTAGTTTGTTCAAAAAATATCACTAAGTTTTTGTTCTTAAAGATCACTTAATTTATGTTATTAAAAGATTGTTTAGTTTGTTCATAAATATCGCTTAGTTTCTTATTAAAGATCATTGATTTTGTTCTCAAATATCGCTTAGTTGCTCTTAAAGATCATTCTGTTTGTTCTTAAAGATCATTCAGTTTGTTTTTATAGATCTTTTAGTTTGTTATTAAAAATCGTTTAATTTGTTCTAAAAGATCGCTTATTTTGTTGTTGAAGATCGCTTAGTTTTTTCATAAACATCGCTTAGTTAGTTCTTAAAGATAATTCATTTTGTTCCTTAAGATCGATCAGTTTGTTCTTAAAGATCTTTTATTTTGTTCTTAAAGAACATTTAGTTTTCTGTTAAAGATAGCTTAGTTTATTCTTATAAATCAATCAGTTTACTATTAAAGATCATTCGTTTTGTTCTTAAAGATAATTTAGTTCGTTCTTCAAGATCGTTTAGTTTGTTATTAAAGATCGATTAGATTGTTCTTAAAGATCGCTTAATTTGTTCTTAAAGATCGTTTAGTTTGTTCTTAAATGCCCCTTAGTTTGTTGTTAAATATCGCTTTCATTGAGTATTAGATGACCAAAAACCTCAGTCACTTTCGGCCGGATGGCCGAAAGTCTAAGTCAATTTCGGTCGAAACCGAAAAAAAAAGAAATTTAACTTTTCTTTTTCGGCCGAGACCTAAATTAAGCCGAAAGTTAACTTTTCAGTTTCGGCCGAAACCGAAACTTGGCCGAAAGTCATAAAATGGCCATTTTCGGCACCGAAACCGAAGCCGAAGTCGAAATTCGGTCGCTCTCTACACTATAGTTAAGATAAAACAGACTTGAAATGTCAATAGAGGATTTTTATTGTACATCATGCCTTAAGTTTAGAATATTAGTTTCAGGGACTTCAATTGAGTCGACCTGTCAATCAATTCATCATACTCAACATTTTTCACCCCCTCAAATTCAATTGCACAAAATCGTAAAACCAGAATCCCTCACATACAAGACATATAACATAATAATATATATATTTTTTTTTTTTATAAATGCTCCTATCTCATGAAGCCACAGACAGTAATATCGTGAGAAATAATTGTAAGTTCGGGGATTGGTAGACACTCTATGAAGTTTTATTCAACTATGAATTTCTAAAACTGTTATGTGTTGATAAGTCTTTGGCATTGTCGAGATTTATGTCAATTCGCATCATTTGTTTTTCAATTAATTAAGAGATCCTTTTCAAATGAAACATCATATATAATAAAGAGAATTTACATACAATATAAATGTTTATGTTCGTCTGAAGTAAAAGCCCCTAAATAAGGACACGACTCAGGCATCACATAATTTTAAGCTACATCACTCATTTCTTTTTAAAAAATCAAAAGAAGATTTGGTGGGAAAACGTGTGCTCTAGTGACACTATGTCTAGTAGCACCGTGTCAGGTTGTATCCTTGTACTTTACGTAAATAAGTTATGAAACTGAATCGAGCGAGCTCTGCCAAATTTAACATTTTC